AAAAAAAAAAAAAAAATGATGCCTTGTTTTTTTTTTTGTTTTTTTTTTTAACAGAACTTCATTGGCAGGGGAATTTGCTTAGCGAGGTGGACCATGATACACAGGTTTGGAAACTGTGGAGATTTATCTTCACACACCAATGCAGAGAACCTAGGGTTCTGTTTCTGCTGCATGTGTCAATGATTAGGGGAGGTAACTTCAATATCATGCACTCCAGTCAACACCTTCCACAATATTGCCTAAACTTACCACAATTCAGCAGCTGACTGTTATATTATGGGTGTACATATCAAAATTATGATAGATGTATTAGGCTTTATTATGACTGAGAATAAATCTTTACACAGAATGGTTATGGGTGTGTTCTGGAATGACTTGCCCAGCTGGAACCCTCACTGGTGAAGCGCCGATAACGACCCTGACCTTGTTTCGGGGAGGAGGAAGGGACTTGTTCATCATTGCCTCTCAAGTACTACCTGAGACCACATCACTCTGGGACACAGCTTTCATCTATGCCTCCATGGCAGCTTCTGGATATGATTCGTTCACTATCACTCATTACTTCAAGAACCAAGTTTCATTCTGGCGCCCACAGACTGCCATCAGGTTTGTATCTGGAATGCAGAGATTCCATCATACGGACATGGAAGGGCTAAGGGTGAAGAGGGAATGATATAGTGAATGAGAAGCGAGGGTGAAGAGGGTGGGGGAGGGTATACCCACAGAAGTAGGGTGGGCCTGCGAAGGTTGAGGATGAAAAGCGAGGGATATAGAGCATGAGAAGCGAGGGTGAGGAGGGTGGGGGAGGGTGATACGCACAAATAGGATGGGCATGGGAAGGCTGAGGGTAAAATGTGAAAGATAGCTTGGAGAGAGAGAGAGTGTTGCTGCTTGATGGTTGGATTTGTGGAGATGTCTGTGTTCTGACTGTCTCTTATACACATCTAGATGTGTATAAGAGACAGCGCCAACACCAACACAAGAGTTCAGGACCTTCTCCCTACTTGGCGCTCGGCGCCCAGCCTACTTTCTACACAACTACTATCTGCCTACAAATTGACAATGCAACTGTTNGAGAGAGAGAGAGAGAGAGAGAGAGAGAGAGAGAGAGAGAGAGAGAGAGAGAGAGAGAGAGAGAGAGAGAGAGAGAGAGAGAGAGAGTGTTGCTGCTTGATGGTTGGATTTGTGGAGATGTCTGTGTTCTGAGTGAGTGTGAGGTTTCTGCTGTTTTTCATGTGTCCAAGTCCGTATGTGATGGTTGTTATGCCATACCAACTGTGTTCTCACCCTGTGTTTTGTGTGTCCTGGGAGGGGGTAGTTTTGAAAATGCAGGGATAGGGATGGAATTGGAGACCAGACGGACTTCTAGAAAGGCCAGTCATCCTCTCCTCCTCAGCCCTCTCCCTTCCCTTGGTTGCAATGTGTCAAAGGCCCTTTTCAAACCAGATCGTTGGAAATCAAAAGGCAGGGACTGCAATCTCAGTCCTTTTTTTTTTTCTTTTTTTTTCTTTTTTTTTTTAAACAGTCCCTCCAGTGCTAGCAATGCTGTTTAGAGCAGACATCGCTAGCACCTGGGGAGAGGCTCCATCTATTGGTGGGGAGCGTCACCTGCTGGAAAATGGGTCCAGCATCCCTTACACAGTTTGATACAGTACGATACATAGAAGGAGAATTGGATGGTGTCTGGAGGGTGCCTGCCAGCATTGATTGCTCTGGAATCCAGAGGATTGACTGAGCAGGTGTGAACATGACTCGAACAGTGGAACTGAAAGCTGGTGGTCCCCATCTCCCTCTCCGACCCTGTGCCCAGTCAGGATTCCGGGAGGAGCCACTGGGGGCCACCAGTGGGGACTCCTTCCGTCTCCCTGCCCCTACACTTTGACACTGTCCTCCGTCAGTCCTACCCTGCTGCCACACACCCACCCTGGCAGCAGCATTGCGGAGTGGAGCAAGCTAAAACTAATAAAAATGGATAACCCAGACTAAAACGAACTAAAAAACAGACTGAAACTGAATAACAAACACAGGCTAACTAAATAAAACAGACTACACCACAAACAGTCCGGAACTCAGACTAAAAGGCGAACCAGATCAGAGTAAAACAGACGAAAAAAGCAGACTGCAATGGCTAGACTGAGTGAAAAAAGACTTTTTGATGTGTGGAAGGTGCGTGCCAGCATTGATTACTCTGGAAATCAGAGGATTGACTGAGCAGGTGTAAGCATGACCCGGCTACGAAAAATGAAAGCTAGTGGTCCTCATCTTCTTCTCCTGTTCTCTGCCCGGTCAGGGTTCCGGGAGGAGCCACTGGGGGGCACCAGTGGGATCTCCTTCCATCTCCTGTCCACTCTCAGGACCCTGTCTTCTGTCGGGTATGCCCTGCTGCCAAGGAAAATGTCTTCTTTCTTGTGAGAATTTGTCTGATCGGGGTGGTTGCCCCTGCTGCCTTGGCTTGGAGGTGATCCTGGAGATGCTCCCTACAGTCGTAGCTCTAGGGACTGTGGGTGGGGCGGGAATGGATCCGGGAAGTCCTCTGCAGGTCTCAGGGGGACGCTGCAGTCGATGGACAACCAATCTTTACACGTCAATCGGTAGTCTCGTGGTACCCTCATCCTTACTTGTCCTTCCTCCCCATCCTCCTCATCCTCACTACCATTCCAGTCCCCTGACCAGCTCACCTCCGCTACCCACCCCTCTCGATCTCCTCCTAGCCATTCCTTGGAGAACTGCCTTATCCTTTCCACAATGTCTTTTGGCCTGTTGAGGGAATTGAGGATGAGTTTGACTGATTTCCATCTGTACTCAAGTTCCATTTGAATATGTTGTTTAAATTGTTCGATCCTCTCCTCTCCCTCAACTCGAACTTGGTCAAACACCAGAGCACAGCGTTGCCACCATAACACCCATAGGACCGTTCTTCTACCCAGGTGAAACATGTTCCAGGCAAAAGAGTCCCCCTGGAGAGGCGGGTAGTGGCCTGTGAGAATGGCACGCCAATCCCACGGACATCGTTGTCCGGGGACAATTTGCTGTCACACCCTATCCCACCATCTCCAGGTGAGGACTGTTGTCGGGCATTGCAAAAAAATGTGCTCTATTGTTTCTGCTCTCTTCTTTGCTGGGAAGCCCGACAGACAGCGATTACACCAAGGGAGGGCCCGACCCTGCTGTTCCAGGTGCGAGTGATCGATTAACCAATCGTTTGTTGGTACGCAACGATGCAGTATCTGCCATTGCAGGGACGTAACTTTGGCAGGTCTGCACTTGGTGTCGCAGAACCATCGAATTGGCGTGAGGAGCTGTCTATCCACGTTAAGGTGCCTCTGCCATCTGTCAATCACAACCTCTTTCAGACATCGTTTGGTTCTGATCTTTCTGTAAGTAGCTTTTACTGAGAGATCTGCCAGTGCCTTAGAATTTGACTGTGTTGAGTTATGTCGTGGGTCTTGGTTCCAGACCCACTCCAGTGGGTCTATGGGTAGGTCTTGCACGACGATCTCGGGCATGAACGCCCGCCGGTTCTCCCCTTCCCCTATGATCCTGATTCTGTATAGGGTCGCTTTCGATATCCATTGGAGAGGGTCCCGATTTCCAACTAGGTGCCCCCCATGCTTTATGTCATGTCATTCGATCAGCGCGTCTTCCGGTCATACCAGGTGGACTAGACCCACTCTGTTAGTCCACCCGTCCTTAGACACCCAGTCCCCCTCTTGCAGCCGTGGACCTTTGCGCATAATGAGCCGCCATCCCACCGGTAGGGCTTCCGTGATCTCCTCCAATGCTGATTCTGTATTATGACAATATCTCAACTTCTCCTTCATCTCCTCCGGGCCCTTCCAATCCTTTTTTTCGGCGTCCCACAGATCTCTCACCCGGGTTACCCCATTCTTCACCCATCCTTTCCATGGGGCGTCAGAACAGCAGAAAATCTAGCTTTGTCCGTTCGAGATCTAGCGGTTGCCAAAGAGGGGTTGTCTTGCCACCTCTTCCCACCTGGTTGGGGGTGGTCGACACGGGGGTGGGAGTCTCCTCCAAATTCTTAACAGGCGAGGCCATAGATCATCTCTCCACCTCCCTTCGCCCCGGGGGCGTCGTGACACTCTCCAATAGTGGTCATCTAACCATTGGAGAGGATGGACAGTGGAGGGGGCCTCGGGGGCAAGTCGGGCAATCTGCTGCAGTGCCAGGGGCCTCCATACCAGCGGGTCTGCAAAGATCAGCCTCACAATCCATTGTAAACTAAGGGTCTGGGATTGGCTAAGGGGGTCCAGTATACCGAGCCCCCTTTTTGTCTTAGGCTGGGTAACCGAGTCCCATGGCGTGAGGATTTTCGTTGTTTCCTCTCCATAGGTAGGCTGCCACCCTCCTTTTTAAGGTTTTCAAGGCACCATCACTCAATTGCCAAAGAACAGGCTTGTACCATAGGGATGTCAGGACCACGTTGTTTATAAGCGCCCGTCCGAAGAGTGATGTGTTCTGGTGGTTCCATTGGGAGAGTTTAGCGAAGGCCGAGGTTGATCTCAGTCCTTGAATATCCCCCTACGAAATCTCCCAACGACCAAGGTTTTTTTCGTGTTGAAGTTTATGAAACGGTATTCACCAGTTCGCAGTAGATGATGCAGATCCCAGGGCTCGATCCCTAGTCCCCACCTTACCTGTGTACAGTATCTGTGTCGACCCCTAGAGTTGAAACCGTGACCTGTGTATTTGTAACAGCTGGTAGGTTGTCGTAGGGTCCATAGATAGCAGGGGTTCGATCTGTAGACTTGTCGAATAGGAGTCCCGGTCAGGTCTAGCAGTCGTAGCTGTAGCTGTCTCGAAGGGTCAAGGTCGTAGCTGCTCCAGTCCAGAAAGGTCAAGGTCGTAGTTGCTACAGTATCGAAAGACCAAGTCTACGGCCTTCCGGAAGGTCCGAGTAGTGGCCTTTCGAAGTTGCCCACGTTTAGGCTGAGGCAAGTGGGCAAGTGGTGAGGCAAGTGGGCAAGTGGTGGAGTCTACCCGTGCTGAGTCAACAGTCCCAGTCCTAGGTAGTCATGGTCCAGTCAAGCAAGTACCGCATGGGACTGTGTGCACTACGGGCATGGGAAAAGGGCCAGACCAACGAGTTGTAGAAGTATAAATCAAGAGACAACGCCTAGTCATTCATTCATTCTTGCGTGAGCCATGCGGAAGCGCTCCTACAAGCGACTTGTGTGAGGTGGTCTGCAGTGAGCCCGAGGAAGAAGTGGGCGAGAGAGGAGTGTAGCCATAGCGATAGGGTAGTAGCGGCCATAGCCGCCATAGCTGTAGTTAGAGTGCAGTGTATGTGTGTGTACGTGTTCAGAGTATCGCATGTGGGATATCCAGGGTGATCCTGTGTATGCAAACAGAGAGTTGTGTGGGCGTTGAGTCGCCATACCCATCGAAGCGAACTTGTATCTGATCTGTGTTCTCGGCTACCATATCTCTGAGTTCTGAGTGGGCGCTTGTCACCAGTTTGCTACGCACCTGTTTGCATGCATGAGAGTGTGAATGAAAGCGAGTCTGATTGCATTGGTATCGGAGCTGGTACCCGCTATTCCACGCGCGTCGTCGTGTGCCGCAGGGAGAGTAACGCGCCATAGCTGAAGTGGCCAACGGAGAAGAAGTCCGCCATAGCGGACACGGAGGTTGAAGAAGTCGTCGCGCGCACCTGCAGAGAAGACCACGACAAAGAAGAAGAGAGAGAGAGAGAGAGAGAGAGAGAGAGAGAGAGAGAGAGAGAGAGAGAGAGAGAGAGAGAGAGAGAGAGAGAGA